CCCGCCACCAGCAGAATGCTTCGGCCCCCCCCCCATGCTGATTCTTCGTAGTTTGTCCTGGATATTTATAGGATAGCATTTGCAGCCTTCTGTTTTTAAGAGAAAAGGGTACGGCTACTTGGAATACTGATAAAAATATCTCACACTATAGGTGCATGCTTCTTAAAACATTTTCGACGCGTTCTAGGAGGCTTTTCAATTAGCGAAAGTATCCTACCGCAAGATTTTCGCTACTTAAACCCATTTCCTCGAGAGGATAATTGCATGCTGCCAAAAGGGATTGCTGCACGCTGGTTTAACTATTGTACTTTTTCTCTGGCTTCGAAATCATGTCAATTTAGTAAATATCTGAATAGAACCATGTCCTACATTTTTAAGAATGCAACAGCTGTGGTACAGAATTCGTCCAGTGAAGTGATATCGATTGTTATTCCCCTGCTCGACCTGTTACGATCAAGAGTGTGTGAGTTCACGTGAGATAACGTAGCACCTTGATGATCTGCATTGCCTGGGCACGCAACATCTAAACGTGACGACTGGGTAATTTGGCTATACTATCCTGATCTCGTTTCGATTCTTTTCCAGGACGATGATGCAGATAAGGGCGGAAGCTGATTCTCGGTTTACACCATCTTTTAAGCTTCGTCAATCTCCCCAATTTAGTTCTACCCAAACCCGAACATGTCGTTCGAAACTGAGCGTTCAAGTCGAACAAACTGCTACCAAAAATCACGGTGCCTGACAAAGTCAGACCACAACTTACCGCATTCAACATCCCTTCCGATCGCCAAGGCTCCATTCTGACCTTTGGCCAGTTCCACAAGTGTGGCAAGTGCCAAATTGGCCCTATCACGCAGATTTGCCGCAGGTGGAGGCAAAACTCCTGCACCCATCACACTTCTATCAGTCTCCTTAGAGTCCAGGCGAAAAAGCACGTCTACTTTCTCCGCAGGACGGCCATCTGGCATAGGTGGAGTGTTTACGTTCCAACCTTCCACTGAAGTTGTAGAAGTCTGATGCATAAGAATGGGAGTCGGTAGACCGGATGTCGGGCTGCGCAACGTCCACAGCACACTTGCACCACCGACAAATCGAAGTAGGCGACGAAGTATGGGTGCAATGGCACGCTGAAGTGCAGTCTGTGTTTCGACGTTGAAACACACCAAATAACCGAGTAGCTCACGGAAAGCACGCTGAAATGGTTAAACAAATGGCAGAAATAGAATAGGAAAAGTCTTTGAACCGGGCACCTTGGAACACACCCTACAACCAATAGTACTTTCGGGGAATGTTGGGCGAAGGTAGAGGATCTGAACTCCACCTCGATCAGCCTAGGTATGCTACAGCATAAGTTAAAAGTATAAATGGGATGTCCTATCATCTTAGTGGGAAAAATAAATTCTACTTAATCTTTCAAAAGAGTGTGGATGATTGTGGGAGGAGTTTACGTTGTCATAAACATGGCGAGGTTAACCAAAGGTGCGCGCAAATGTGATATTCTTTTTTTAACGTAAGTAGCTTCCAGTACACAGAGAGTTGACTCGGGACCGACTGTGGTTCATTCAAGTCACACTAGGATGGACTCCTTATCCCTGCTACAAACAGATCTCCGGCCTATCAGCCTATTGCAACAGGATGGATGGTTTTCTTATCATCTTTTCGAATCCCCGCAACTGCATAAACTGGACAGCTTATGGATAAAAAGCAAAAAAAATCACACAGGGATCTGAGACATACTTTTCCAGTCGAACTGAATTCCCCTAAGTGCTGTCAACCCCTAGCACCTCTTGTACCGCCAACTTGAGCGCGAGGGTTCGCTTTCACAAACTTTAGCAACAATTTTCCCAGTGAAGCTCAAAAAAACGCTTCAGTGAAGATGATCTCGTCCCCGTTTAGGACTACTACCAGGGCATATCCAGCTTCCATTGAGATGTATTCTGCTTCCGTGCTTCCAGAGTTCGAAACCAGCATTCCTTCTTGTAGGTACCGGCGAAGTGCCACTACCAGGGTACCGTATTATCGCATTTTACGCAACCTAATAGAATGATGGGACAAGATATAACTCTACTGACCATGAAGCGCTCTCAGTTAATCCGGTTTCATTCAGAAACTAAGGGCTTTAGCCAATAAAACATTCGGCTGTACCCTTCTGGAAATGCTAAACCTATCCTTCTTCCCTTGTTCAGCAAATCTATCTAATGCGAAGGAAAACAAATCGTGCCGTTTTAAAGGAAAATTATCTAGGCGGAACTGGTATGACGTCAGCATTGGAATTAGAAGAGCAAAGGTGGGATCTAGATGACCACTTGTCAGGAAAACCAGGAGCTTTGAAATCATGAAACAAAAAACCTCGGCATAACTCACCAAAGCATCTATGAAGATGGCATCTGCGGGATCGTCAAACAGATGTTGGATCAGACGGAACATCACACGAAGGCAGTCGGGCTCAGTGGGTACTGAGGGTGGTGTTGTTGAATGAACGTGTGCACGANCTCGCTACCAGCCGGGCCCCCTGATCCCGGGAGGCTTCGGATACCTTTAATTTTGACTGCTGATGTTGCTGCCTTGCGACCAAAATGCGTCGAACTGTTAACTGAGCCGCACGTTGAAGCGCCCATTGGCGTCTGGCCACGGAATTTTGCGCGGCTATTGCGTCCGCAACCTGAAACAGAGCCCAGATATGGCGCTCAGTATTCGCACAATGGAATGGAATTTTCGAAAGCTATGACGTGTCCGTGATGAACTAAAGCAATCAGACAATTGAGTACAGAGTACCAGTCCAAACTTTTGAGCCACACTTAGGTATCCCGGGGTCTTAGCGATACTGAGAAATTATTCCACCAGGCTTTCCCGTCAGAGGTATGATTGCTTGAGTGGACAATAAAATTTGGTGAGCTCCAAATATATGAACGTATATTGGAATGGTTTTGGCTTGAGCGTATACGCAACAAAACGCAACATTCTGGAGCAAAACGTTTTACTCCACTCTTAAAGCTTTTGCAGCTAAGAGCACTGCGTGGCTAATGTGCCCTCCCCCCAGATATACATGGCGGCATCGGTAACTGATCTCTTACCGAGGTATCCACTCAAGCTACCAACATTCCAACGTATTACCGATATAAGGTGGCACATTGTTCGGTGTAAGGAAGCCTGACGAGGGTGAAGCATTCTGTCAACAAGTTGCACATAGTCGTTAAACTTTAATACGCACAGGAGGAGAAATCATGCGACATCTGGTCGCCTACTTTAACTGACCGTTTCACCGAAGGCCTACTGTGGGACTGCCGTCAGACTGCTTTAAAACTGGCACACCCCATTGTTTCCAACATATGCTTTAGTCGGTCATTCCATCGCAGGCCACTGTTTGCTTTCATATCGCGTCTGCATTTCAGGTCATATCAAGGCCTGATACCAATGCCACTAGACTATTGTTTCGGTTGCTGTATTTTTTTCACCATCCAAGCAACGTCATGAATTAAATTTATACATAGGGAAACCCTGATCAGCTGCGCTGCTAAGCTAAGTTGCTTAGAGCCATCCTAACCGAACGGACATGAAGAACGACAAATGGGTATATAGGACATGAAAAGGCAGGGTTCTTAATGATACACTGAATCCCGGCACGTGACTCTCATTGGGACATCTTACCAGGGAATCTATCGGGGGCATCTATATATTGGAGTTTATTACTTACGATTGCTCAGGGGATCAGTACCACATGCCAGCAGAAGGTTCTCTTCGAAAACTCATCACAAGCCGCTTCAGTCCGGTCATGTTTTCTCTTTTGCTCTCTTCTTTTCACCGATCCCTTATTCGTGCTGAGCAAACCTGAGGTACCTGGAATCAATTCAGAACGTACATAGACCGCACCGACTAACCCTTCATACAAGCCCCCTGATGCGCTTTATCAACTCGAACTTCATTCTAGCGTTACGCCGAGGATTTGGTGCGGTCCTGAATAACTGTGTTTGCACCCAAATCAATTAGCTGCTAATTTTATTTTGTCATCGTCATATATTGGCGCGTTACCTTTTGCGGCAGTCCCTGTGTACATCATCTTCGTCGTACCATCTTGAAGATCGCTCAACCCAGGTAACCAATATTGGTGGTTCCTTACTGATGTTTGATAGTATCGTAGAGCCTGAAATCGACGTTTTATCCGACCCGGAATTGGGGCGTGTCAGGTTTCGGCTGTATCGTAAATGAATGTCGTGCTAGACAATGCAGATATCGACATCTTGACTCACATCGCATTTGTTTTGTGTCTTTTTTGTCAAATCAACTGAAACGGAAAAGTACAGTTGAGTGGTACGATGAGTGAGCATACGGCAACCTCGATTGGAAAGGTCGATAGACGCTACACTTGACCGCGCTGGTCATAAACCCTCCAGTGCGGAGCATGAGGTTGTTCTTGTGCTACATGTAGGTTGCCCCACGACAAATAAATAATTCTCTATGTCCGCAAAAGCTTGGTGAAAGCACCTAAAACGTACCTAAGGGCGTCGTGGAACCGAGATCATGCTGCAGTTCGGTCACGGTTTTGGGGAAATCGCCAGCGCTGTCGAAATAGCAAATGAATAGTTGGAAACTACTCACTACGTTTAGGTAGCTGAACGAATCAACCAAACTGAATTTCCGCTGCAGGCCGTGATTTTGGTTAATCTGGATTTTCGATATTTTAAAATCCACTCCGGCGTTTTATGGTGACGCAAGGATATTGCAAGGGGGTAGTTGTTTGCTGCTAACAGTTTTCGAACAGCATTAGACCTGGTTGAGCTGCGGAAACCTACTGCTCTGCATCATTGTACATCTGCGTTCAAATACGAATTATTAAATTGTCGTCTTCATCCACTTACTGAGGAACAAGTGTATGACCGGATTACTTTTACTGACACTGTTGTTGGCGATGATTGTAATGTATTACGCCATCTTAGTAGATGGGGACGGTGAGTACGATAATGACTACTGGGATCTCTATTAGAATTCCCAAACTAACAGCTATCTATAAGTAGCTCAGAAGAAGAATAAAATCCACCCGATGAGCAAACTTTCCATCCGAACGGTATTCACACGGTGAGCAAGTCAACACGTGTGACCAAGCAATGTGGATTCCGTGACTAAAGGATGAGAGGCACTATGTCCTATCTGAGTATGGGTTAATCAGACTGCTGATCGGCCACTCGTGGTCGAGCGGTTAAGCATTCAAATTGCTAGCTGGGAGGTCACGGGATCCAGACTCCCTGGAGTTTCGTGATATGTACACGGTTGGCGAAACAGCTGGACAGTGATTAAGCATGATAACGCACATGTAGATGATGGCTTCTTAGCCAGAAACCCTGCCTAAAATCGTACGACGAAGTCTCGGTAAACACCAGTAAGCATGGAACAACTGCGCGGTTTTTACCGTTTTTAGTTAACTTTATCTTACAAGACAAGAGCGACATGTGGAACACATAAAAGTTCCTTGTGTGCAACAAGAGTAAGCCGAAGAACCACTTTCAACGTCAACGATTAGAAGTTGGATGGAGAATAATAATAGCATTGAAAGTAATATATATGAAGTAACATCACGTCTAACTGGTTGGTAGAGGGTACGTTAAATGGCAGTCGTAATGATATAGCTACCGCACTTACCACATGGCGCGTTCTGCACTCGGAAAAATGTGGTATTCCAGTCCTACAACCAGGTCTGTGTTAAACATCCACAATACCATACAGGTTAAACAGTCCAATTGCGCCTCCATATAGCTCATTCGCAATTTACTTTGGTGTTTGCTGGAGATCAACCGAACCTTGCACTTATGATGATCTTCAATGAGAGATTTTCGGTATCCGTTCAAAGGACGACGCTGTGCAGATATTTATCCTCAAACAGTCTTCGTATGCTTGTTCACTGAGTTGATCCGCTGCGCTGCAAACGGTCCATCATCGATCGAGGTGACATTGCCAGTGTTTTGTTGTGAAGTAAAGCCGTGTAGCCAGAATAGCGGTTTTAAGTGACAGTCATCCACTGATTTATCACAATTAATGGACATTTGTTGTTTGGCGAGTGATTTTCCCAAAGACCTAAACCATTGGTATAGTTTACAAGGAGATAGGCGCCACGCCAAATGATTCGATCCCAGTTCACAAACTCCCTACACCGACTAATCAGAGACGGGGAAATCTATCGAGTGTTCATCTAGACATTTAGGCGTTTGTGGAATACCCATGAGAAGTAAACTTTTGCCGACCAGTTCTTTCATGTTGTTTACCAAACCTAATGTGAAGCGACGCCGACAGCTGGGATGTGTCGTACAGTGAATTCTTGGTTAGATTCCCTGGGAAACGTGGTAATCGTGGTGTACCGTTCTCATTTTGGTATGTCAGTGGCAGGTGACAAATTGGACGTTACTTGTTGGATTAAGTAAACGGTCGTCAAATGTTCTGAGCTGAGTAGATCGAACTATAGTTGTGGTCGAACATATCACTGGCCCTCTGAGATCGAGAACGCACGGTCCTCAAGAAAACGAATTACACGGTAAAGAGTTTGCTGCTGGAAGCAACGTCTATGATTCATTAGCAACCCGGAGAAAACACTCAAGGAGGCTCACCTCAAGTGAGAATGCTGCAACACAGTTTTTGTAGTCCAGATACGGTGGGCAGTTCGGAGTCACGGGTGGGCTAGACTGAGCTGGGTGTACTGCGGCCTCTTTGGTGGTCGGACCTTTGCTATTCAGAGTAGTTGTTGAAGAACATTGGCTGGTCAGTTCGCTTGTTGGACTGATTGTTGCAGCCCCATCTGATGCTGGGTGTTTAGCTGTAACAGTATTTTCCTCCTCGACAGGTTTTCGCACTGAATCCTGTGATTGTGTGCAACATAGACAACAGTGAGATGAAGGACTTGGTTCAGTAGAATGCGCTGAATTGATTCCACAGTCTTGTGGGTTTTCAATGGTGAAAGGTGTCGCATCCCATCTGCTCAAACATGCTGGACAATGTGGACTGTCACCTTCAAGAGTGATTTCTTCTAGCCCTGAAATCCAAAGATTTTGTAGAAAATTATGTCAAGTCATCTTGAAGAGTGCATCGAATTCAGCAGAGGGGATCTCAAGAGTACTGAAGGGACATGTAAGATTAGAATTGAACATCGTACAGAATCTTTTGTTTGTTTTGGAGACAGTGATAAACACTTCTAGGAAAATCGGTTTAATTGGTTTCACGAGTTGTCAGGCCTAATCAGATGAGGTGGAACTTCAAACCTGCCAGCTTGTTGTGTGCATGATTTTAGTACAGTTAACCCAAACTACGTCTATTAAGATAAAGGGGTGTATCATTTTCACTGTTATACCCAGATGCGATTGTCAAAATCTACGGTTTAATGAATGCTGGAGTGGATATCCACCTTACGGCCGCTGCCGGAGTAGAAAACAATACAAGACCTATGGTGGCAGCGATAAGTTACGAGTCGACAACCGACTGAATTCGGTTCTGACTACCAATCGTTGAACTACTTTACTGTCGAAAATCGAAGGCGAACTCAGGCTACGAACCTTCAGTCAGGAAGTTCCGTACGTTATGGTCAGTGGCACAGTAAGAACAAAAGGCCATTTCGTAAAACAGTATTCCACTGACCAAACTACTGCAGGTATATCCCAACAGTCGGAGCGCAGTTCAGAACAGCAGATAACATTTTGCTTAATGAATCAGAATTCCTTTGGAATAAACCGAGACCCTTTTCCTATTTGATTTCTAACAGCACTATGCGGCATTTGTAGTTATGCCCATTGGGAAATCATAAACATGTCGTCCTCTATATATTGTACGGAAACAAATAGTATGTCCAAAATTCTAGGATGCTGCTTGGTAATATGTAAACCCCTCATCTACAACTTTCGGACGCACTGTACAGTCACGTTCAACCTTCTCTACCAGAATGGTATTCTAGGTCGGCACCTTCAATTGTAGTGCACACGTCAGTTAGTCCCACCTACATATCTTCCACCTTGACCATCAAACCAGTTCCTTGGTACGGCACATTGATCCAAGTAACCGATTTCCGCTCTAGTTGTAATCTCACTGGGTCCTGTGGAAATGGGTCGATAGTGAGCCGAAACAATTGAGCTTTGTAGAACTTCCAAGAAGCCTACGAAAAATTTTGCCAACGCCTAGTGAGATAACGCCTCGGTGGATTTCACTAATGACCTAAATTATCACCAGGTATCAACTGGCAGCCAAAATTTTGGTCTCAACTGCATAAATGCGACCTTATCAAGTGAAGAACAAATCGGACGCTGGAGACACTCCACACTTTCCGGTCTACTGTAGTGCCCAGTAACTGTCTACAAACTCTCACGTTTTACGGTTTGGTTCAGTGTTTTTCCACTAAGATCTTGATAAGCTGCGCCATGAATCAAACAACTCTTTCTCAACTCTAAAATGAACTGGTGCCTTATTCCAGTCACAAAACATGAAAAAAAAACTCATGGAAATCGGTATAGATGCTAGCCACATTGTGTTCGTTGTGCACCATCAACTAGGATTAATCCCTACCAATCGCATTTGCGAGTTACTCAGTTTGGTAGGGTCAGGGTTTGATTTCTGCAAAACAATTTCGAACGAGAGCCATTATCTTTACCCAATGAGACCGAATTGAATCCAAACAATGTGTGTGTGTGCACTTGGCGATAATAAATGGGATGTGGCCTACTTTTGCTAGAGTGACTCATTGTAGAGCCTACTCAGAACTTGATGAATGTCGCAGTCTTCCGCTCGGACGGAGGTGTACATGTTCGGATACAGACCAGCACTCAGATCCACAGTTATCCACACAACCCGGGTGGGTGGGTGAGTAGTCACTTGATTAATCGTCATTCATGCAGAAAAAATGGTGAGGGAGGGTGTGGGAAAATGACACCAGAGTCCGTTGCTCAGCAAGAGTTAGGCTAGTTACACTGAGCACTGGTCTGCCTCCCTACCGTTTCGGCAAGCTCAACTGTACACATTGGCTAAGACCGGTAATTTGTGCCTCATGAAATATGCGTTGTGACGTGGTGTGAGTCATCGAGGGAGGAAAGAGGGGAACATAGTTTGGCGGAGGCGGAACGAAAACCAAACAAGCTAACAGAGACTCAAAAGCATGCAACGTTTCGATAGAAGTAAGAGCATATCGGTTGGAAATTAGGGGCAGGAAGAACAACGTGATTTTTAGGGCACAAAATCAACCTAGTAAACAAGAATTGATTTAAGAACGATCTCGGTATCTTTCCCTGGCATTTACCCTGTTATTGCGACCAGACATGGAATCCAGCGAAGGTGAGGGGAAATCATGATGGGTTGTACATAAACCGATTAAAAAAGAAGCCGAGCTAACTAGAAGCCTTTTAGTATTGACTAACCTGGCGAAGAAATGTAAACATTGGCTACAAACTTAAATTTAGTTGGTGGGAGAAATGCACTGGAACAACGACCATGCAACAGGCAGTCGCCTTGGCAAACATACAGAATAACCATATTGGACGGATATTGTACATTGCATTACAAACACCAGCGAATACGCACAGTAAAAAAAATAAATCGTTCAGTTGTAGCACCCTTTCGGTGCCACACGAATGAGGCACGAGGGCTGAGATACTGTCAGGTCGCCCAAGCCTAGACAGGGGAAGTCAAGAGGCAGAGGTCGGGTTCGAACCACGGACCTTCCGGTCAGTAAATTCGCGCTCTAGTCACTTGGTACATCTCGCCCCAGAATACACACAACAAGCATATTTGTCTACGGGTAATGGTCAAACAGCCAAGAAATAACTATTTCTGGGTATTTCACGGAAAGATACCAAAGTTAAACAAGAAATCCCCACGGCATCTCGTGAGTAGTTAGAAATACTAAACTTTTTGCAAGAGTAGATAAGCAATAAAGTGAGCAAAATTCCAATCGGTTTTCAATGTGCAAATAACCACTTTAGCATATATATGTGACGGTCAAGTTGGACGTTATACAGAAACCTTGGCCCACGAACTTATTTTCCAGACGCATATTTTGGGTCCAAACGAGCTAGCCAAGTCACGAAGGTCTACATAACTGAATAATTCATATAAAATGTCCACTCACAAGTAGTAATGGTTTCCCCATCTTATGCGAGAGAAAATTAGAACAAATTATGGGTGGCGTTGCTGTTGGTCTCCTGCCAATCATAAGCAAATGTGAAAATAAGCGAGTCACAAGACCACACTACTCTTAGTTTCTTGGGGGGGACACTAGTCAAAATGCTCCTGAAACAAGAGATTCAGTTGAGCCTTCCGTTAACACCAACTCAATTTGCAGATAAGTGTATTTCGCGAATAGACTGTCTGTGTTTTGACTTATAAAATGGAAAAGTTCAGGAACAGTGATGAGGTCAAAAGGTCACATAGCTTTTCAATTTTGAGGTTTTGTCCATAGTTCAGCTTGATCTTTTTTTTTGCGTGCCATTTCTATCTTGGAAATTATCATAACCACACAGGTATGTCTCCCCTGATTTCAGACGAATAGTATTGCTGCAGTCTACTAGGTGGCAGAGCGCAGGTCTCCACCAAGCCAGGAAATCTGTTCTCTACCCGTGTCACACAAGGTTCATCAGGAAAGTGCATGTGAGCCAATACTTGTCGGATCGGTGGTACTTTGCGTCGATAACCAATTGAATGCTTTACTAGACTTCTTCACTGAAGGGCTACCGCAGTCTTGTCCACTCAGATAAGGTGTAGTTTTAGAATACAGTCCTTGAGCTGCACTAAAGTCTAGACTGTCTAGACTTAACACACTATTCACAGGATTGCTGAAAACTCCTTGAAAGCCCACGCTGGTTTCACCCTTCTTGGAACCGCCAAGTAAGGGTGGCCCCCGAGTTCCCCTCAACCGTGTGTTGTTCTCGAACCCAAATTGACGGAATTCGCCAAATACTCTCATTCGCACACGTATCTGGTTTTGACGTGGAACTAACTTGATCATATGCTGCGGCTGATCACTCTTACCACCACCGCTACCTAGTTGCACTGGACACCAATGTGTAGGTGAAGCTGGTAGAGTTCCAGACGTTGCAAAGCGTTTAGGCCTAAAGTGGCGGATGGTTTATCAATACAGCCTTCCGAAATAAAAATCCAGTGTACATTTTCTAGACCGAGAAACGGTACGTGCATTTGTTGCTGAAAAGTTCAGGTACACGGTACCTTGGGCTGAAGCGATCGATAAGGGTACACAACGGAGCCCATACGGTACATCCTAAGTTGGCGTAATTTAAAATTACGCATTGACTCTTAATGAAGGATCAAGACAAGCGTTTGTCAAAGAGATCGCGCTTCAAGTCTCGTCTGAAGATGAAGCACATATTTGCGTGCAAACGAGTGATTGAGCAACCGATGTTCATTGCTTTACAGAAGACGAATGTTGTTGGTTCGAGGTCACTTTCTGATTGTTGCTTGATAAATATCTTCAGTGAACCACAGCATATTACCACTGGATCCCGCCTCACACAGCAACAAGCCATCTGAACCACTGGTCTGTTGGTTCTTTTAGTGGAGTACATGTGTAGCCACCCCGTCACCCACACACTTGACTGTTCAGCTCGCAGTCGCTCACTGGATCACGAGGCTTGTCTTTTGTTCCATACTCAAACCACGTCACACTAAGCTGACTGACCGGACATCGATTGTCTGTACCGTCTAGTGAGCATAGCAACAACCCATGTGCTGACACACCCACGTACACGCAAACGGACCCACACATAAGGAAACCGAACAGTCAGCACACACAGACAGACTCGCGCGCGCGCAGGGAGCAAGGGGTTAGCCAAACACCCCAAGTCGACGGACAATTATGGAGTACGTGTAGCAGCCAAACCGGGTAGAAAACACGTTCCCGCCGTCCGGACATTCATCAAGGGACTTTCACAGACGATAAGTTCCCTTTTGACTTGCTCCACATTTTATATCGCCTTTATTTTATACATGCTACAAATCGCTTCTGTAAACTACTGTCAACCACATTAAAAACTTTTATTAGTG